AGATAAAATTATAATAATGAATAAAACTTAACCTTTTTTTTTACCAAACACTACCAGCCTCTCCTGTACAGAGAAAAGGAGCAGTGGCAACTATAGTCAAATTTAAACATTAATAGTTATTCGTTACAGTATGGACCTTTTTGGTAATTAAATTATTATTTTTTAAAATATTGATTTTAGACATTAGTATAGGAGTAGCACAATCATGCCCGGCATGTGACATTGAAAAAGGTAATGATTGTACATCATCAATGATGACTACTCTACCCATGTAATTTGAAATATTCTTATATTTCTAGCTAATGTGACCAAACACACTTTCAGGATTTGTTATAGTTTTGGTGTGACTTGCATATTTTTCACTTTTATAAAAACGTAAAAATACACTATTACAGAGAATTATAATCTTAAAAATATAAAAAAATGGTAAGAAAATGAATGATTTTTTAATCATAAAATAAAATTCTTTCTTATTTTGTAATTTATTTTTATTCAATATAATAAAATATTTATTATAAAAAATTAATTAATTTCATCTAAAAGTTTTATTTAAATTTAAACTTATTCATAATATACGTGAGTTGAAGGGAGTGAAAGACCAGTGCATCTGAGGCTTTATAATTGGGTATCCAATTGTGTGATCTTAGGACATAGAAAAGGGTCACTTTACATGCATGCAACATGAAAAAGCAGTCCCACAATTATTCCAATTCACGTTCTTTTATGGAGTCTTACATATAAAGGCATCACCAATTCACCAACAACGAATACTTCAAATGGAGAAATTGAGTTTCAAGTCTATTATTTTCCATGTGACTCCAACATATGTTGACGTCACGTCTCTTATTTTAAATGAAGCATGAATGTATTTAACTCCTTTTTAAATATATTTGTTTTATTTTTTATATGTACTAGCTATAAGAGTATTTCATTATAGACACGTGGAAATTATTTAAAATTTTTAAAATCAAATTATTATAAATTCAATCGCCTAATAGTTGTGTGCTGAATTTTATTAGTATTTTTTATTTATTAAATTGAAAGTAAATATAAATGAATTTTGTGCAACTTTTATTATGACATTGACCAAATCATTTTTCAACTTTTTTTTCACTAGATTAGAACTTGACATGTTTTTCTTTTATCATTTTAGTCTTACGCATCTTATGTGGTGATATTTTAAATCTTTAAATTTTTTGAGCAATTGATTTAATTATTTTAATTTTGAACTTGAAGCGTGGATTATATAAATTTATAGACTTACTGGGTGTTGAAATGCAATATTATAATTACTAAAGGATAAAAGATGCTAAGGATTGAATTATAAATCACTTAATTATTGAGATTTTGATATTATGTTATGAATTAATCATATTTTGAAAGCAATTGCACTCCATCAAAATTCTTTATTTCTCTCTCTTTCTTATGCATTTAATTTTTTTTATAACTTTTCTTTCTCTTTTTTATTTGCCTTTCACTTTCTTCTTGCGTGAAGTTTAATTGTCTTGAGACGTTGGCTTTGATTGTCTTGCCGCCACATCACATCTGCCAAGAAGCCACACACATTGATTCACTTGAAGGAACCAATCTGTGATCCAAAACCGCATCATCACATCAACCACTCAATAGTAGCATGAGACTTTTCGCCAAAAAGAAATGCAAAAAAGAAAATAAAAATATTAACGATTGATTAAAAATAAAAATTACTAATAATATATTCTTTTTAACATACTTTATTTATTAGTTGATTTTATTAAAAATTATAAAAATATAAAAAAAATATTAAATTAGAAGAAAAATGCTAACAATATAGTATCTAATACATTTTTTGAACATACTCTTAATATTAATTAAAATTATAAAAAATGAGAGAAAAATATTAATTTAAAAATGAAATAAGATTCACACAATTTTTATAATTTTTAGTCAATAATAAATAATATGTTAAAAATAATATGATAAACAGTATGTTGTTAACATTTTTAATTAATAGTGTATTACTACCATTCTTTAATTAAAAATGAGAAAAGTAAGCATATAAATTTTATAATTTTTTAATATATTTTAATTGATATTTAAGAGGCATTAATATTTTTGAAATTAAAAATATTTATATTCAAAATATAATAATATACTTTTTTACAGTTTTAAATAAAAAATTATTATTTATTAATTTATCAATCAATATTTTAGGACACTGAATAATAAGACAAAAGTGAATTAATAATAGGGTAAAATCTATGCTACACTTAATATTGAGGAGACATACACTTTTTTATCTATATGTATAAATTTAATTTCATATTTAAAAGATTTTAAAAATATATATTTACTCATTAATTTTTTAAAATATTTATATATTATTATTAAATGATATTAAAAGACTTTTTGTAATAAAAAATATAAAAAAAATTTATAATAAAAAGTAAATTATAATAAATGTAAATTATAAATTAATTAAACCAATATTACTACGTCACGTAAAAGCGTCAGTTTGATTTACCCTCAAATGTGGAGGCACTCGAAGCTAAGAACAAAACAATAATCGAGTGTAAGTGTTAAAGCTTTGTTACCAATTGCAAGCATTAACTGTAAAATGTGACGTTGTAGAGAAAATAATATTATGTAAGAAGAATACTAGCAAAACATTTTTTAATAATTAATCATTGTTTTGTTAAAATTTATTAAAAATTAAAAAAATATTAATTTAAAAGTAACGAGTAAATATTATAAAGAGTAGAGAATATTAATTTAAAAATATTTTTATAATTTTCAATAAATTTTAACTAATAGTAGAGAATGTATTATAAAGAGTGTATTAAAAGGTATGTCAAGAACAAAATATCCTCTTATGACCTTCGAGTTATGGTAATTATCAATTGATGGAATCCAGTATAAATAATAAAAATTAAAATTTTAAAAATTAAATAAAAAACAGCATAATAATTTTTTTATTAACTTAGATTTAGATTTTGAATTTTATTTTAAAAAATTTTCTAATAAAAACAATTTAATCTAATTCAAATTGCTTTTAATTAAATCAAATTAAAATAAAATTTAATTAAAATCAGTCTAAATTAAATCATAATATATTTTATGACCAGAATAAATCATTTTTATTTAAAAAATAATTCAATTAAATTAGCAAATAACCTTATCTGCGAGGATTAGAGTTGCTAACTAACCTTGTTAGAATTATGTCTACCTTATACTACCTTGCTAACTACCTTATGAGCTTTTAACTATAAATTCTTCGTGTGTTTAAAATACATAATAAAAAAACAATAAATAATGAAAATTTATTAAAATATAACATTTAATATCATCAAACAAATTTTGATTAAAAAATTATATAAATTATAATTATATATTCTTTAACGCATGTGAAAAGGACGTTTATCTATTAACATTTATTATTTATAACATAATTCTATGCTGACAATTTTATAATCACTGGATAAATATAGATATCACATGGCATGGATAATGATCTTCATCATGACATATTGGATGTCACAGATTTGATATTAGTGTTATCTTCTTTATAATAATACGCTCAACTAGTAACATCGAATAGGACAAAAACAAAACTTTAGGTTCAAGTTTGACATATAAATACTCGACAAAACATTATTAAGACTTTTGACATTTTGTCCGGACCTTGTAGTGTCATAACTTTAAAAATATTGGTTAAGCAAATAAAAGCAAAAATATCATTATACTAAAATATAAAAATTATTTAATATTTAACTTTTTAAGCGGTTGTGATGATTGGATATTGTGTACTGATGATTTTAACAAAAGCTCTTAAAATATTTGTTAATTAGCAAGAGCAAGAGTGCAAGACCCAATACTTTTTATGTCCTTAAACTTCGATAAAAATGGTAATATATAAAAGATTCAAAAAAGATATGTGTTAGGATAATTATAGTCGTTGGAATCGAAAATGTTTGATAATAATATTAATATAAAATTAACATTTGACTTGCCTAACTTATGAAATTCATATAAGAGGACTTGGTAATTTCGGCATGCAAAATTAGCATTGAGTCGGGCTCGATGAATATCTATCCAACCACAATGGTGGGCACATTTAGTTAATTCATTGTTGATCCATCATGCGAGTTGGCAATCCCAAATTTAACTCTTTCCGAGTTTGTTTTTTTTTTTTCTTTGCCCTTTGGGCCCTTTCGTGACGCAGTAATTTCTCATGCAAAAACTAATTAAAGAGAGTTGATTTTGGCACCCCCCCTCTTTTTATTACTCCTCTTTAATGTTTCTTTTTTCTAAAAATTCCCTTAACAATAATTCAATTTATTATTTTTTAAAAATTTTTGTTGAATAGTCCTCTTCTTCAAAATTTCCTTCTTTATTTCTACTTACACTTCATTTTTTTAAAATTTTTTTATGTTCTAAGTATCTCCATTACTTTGAATGTATTATATAATGCATACAGTTAAATTATGGCTACGGGCTTCAATCATCTGAGTGCAAAGTGGGCTACGGGCTTATTTTCACTATTTCAAATTTGGCTTTTGGGTGTTAGCTATACTTAGTAGTTGCCAATGAAACAATAAAGTGAAGGAAAAAATTTAGGTACTGAACCTAATTTTTATTTAAAATAACTCTAAAAAACCTAAAAAACTATATATTTATTAACTTATTTTAATAAATTTCTTAATATAACTTATGGAAATATGCTATTATCAAAATATACTATTTTCAGTTCATCTTAATAAAATCGATGGTTAAATTTATAGCATAAGTCGTAATATAAAAAAATCTTATTAAAGCGAAGTCGGTTTACACCTCTTCGTAGGAAGCATGCAGCCGTACTTCACGCAATTCAAGGGGCATAATGAAACCGGTTGGGTGCTTTTAATCTAGAAAAGAGTGATGAAAATAAAATAATAAAAAAAAAAAATCAGTCTTAATAAGTCAAAAGTAATCGTTTTTATTCAACCCCACTAATTTTTGTAGTGAAGGAAACTTGATTAAAAAAAAAAAAAAACTATACTCATTCCAATAAATGTGTTGCTGTACAGGATAAATAATTCATGAAGGTTATGTTTATACCAACATGTGTGTAACTATAAAAAATATGCACGCAACGGAATGGGCAGAGGACAAAAATTAAACCATGAGTATTATATTGGGGTAAAAAGTGAAGCTAAACCTTGATCCACTGTTATCTGTAATTTATCATAGTTCATCAAAGCCTTCTGCTCACACTTGTAAGTTCCTTTCCCCCTTGCTAGAACCTCACCATCTGAATCTATGATCCCTTCCTTCTCTTGGTCCTTGGTGCGTGGACCAGGTTGCAAACTGAAAGCTTTCACCTGTAATTTGTTGCAAGATACATAGATTAACAAATTTTGCTATGCAAATAAACTAATGCAGAGACACTTTTGAAGCTCAAGGTCACTGCTACAAAAAGTATTACACTTGAACATATTGATGATCACACCTTTAGGTATGTGACGTATGGAGATTTTACATGTCCTCCCGTATTTAACTCTGACATAATTGACAGCAATGGTAACTTTGGACAATTCTTCATAATGATCAAGTCCAGATAACCATCAGAGAACTGAATTTACCAAATTATAATAATAAAGGAATTTGTCAAGCTCAGGCCCATAAACAACACCTATCAATTGTAAGCAATAATGCTTACCATACAAGTGTTTGCGTGTGTGCCTTATTGTGTATAAAACAATGTTCCAGACTACGGAGGAACTTAAGGAAGTGAATATTCAGACCTCTCTGGCATCTATATATTTACAGCTTTCAGCTGAATTTTCTTAGGCGTGCATAATCCTGGCAGAAATTAAAGAGTTCAGAAATTTATACTCTACTGTACTCATCTTAATCTTCAATTACCATATCCAAAATTTTTGGTAACAGTTATTAAAATCAAGAAAACTAATTTGCAAATAATTGTTCCTCATTATTGGATAACTCTTTCTAAAGGATGCATTTGGAATCAAATTGATACAGAATTTATCCTAGTAATGGTGCTATCACTGCTATGGTAGCAATTGGAATCATATCCCAGTATAACGTAGAGGAGTTTAAGTGTGAGATATTAAAACGATATCCTTAAAATCATAATCACACAAAACTGACCTTTGCATCAGGTGCTGCCATTGTGTCTTCAGCACCCCAAGGTACATTGTGAAGCCAGACAGAAATAAAGGGTCCATTTATAACTCTCCAATTCAGATTTTCCAAGTTTATTTCAGGTCCTTGATAACAACTCCTTTGTATATTAACACTTTCTGCTTCACTTGGATCATTGTTGCTGCTTTTCCCAGGGTAGCTTGAGGGCTCCCCGAAAACTTCATACCCAGGTGCAGGCACAAAAGAAACACATCCAATGTATTGCCTCAAATTGAAGAATCGACAGAGAGCCTAAAGCAGAAAAGCAGTGAATGAAGAAAACAATAATGAATATCTTCAATCATTTATCTGTCAAACTAATTGTAGTGCAAGTTTAACAACGAAATTCAAAACTGCATTACAAACACAGTCAGAAAAGCATATTCATGTTACATCCTATCCTTCAGTTCCCCACTAAAGGGTCATTTATATTACTATAAATAAAACAAAACAGACAGAATTCAATTGGTCTAATTCAGAACCGTCCAATAAAATCGAATCTTATCCATTTTGTAAGAAATCTACCCCCTAAACACAAAAGCAAGTGTCCTTAGTCTCACAAGTTACAACACAGGCATTATGTATTTCTCTTTTCCTTTATATTTTGGATCTGTTTCTCAGAGACATATAGACACAAGTGTAGTTACTCTACGAAATATAAGTAGACAGAAACAACACCAAAATCAGATAGAGGGGTAAAAGAATATTATATTGGACTAGAATGGCACTTTTACCAAGTCTGTGTAGCTACTAATTATATAGTGCAAGGAATCAAACATGTATTTTCTGAACTAAGTACCTGAAGGCATCCTACATAAAGTCATAAACAACTTTGGATTGTAAAATACCAAAAACTAAAGCAACGACCTTCAATTTGATCATTTATTATTCTTCCATTTATGTTCCTTCCTTCAATCCAAGTAAGTGAAAGATAATTGCAAAAAATAATCCAAACAAGAGACACACATATAAGTGAAAGAAAAAGTTGATAAATAAACATATTGTGAAAATTATAAAATGGCTTACTAACATAAAAATCTAGACGAGCACTACCCAAACATCGATACTTTTCAGACTCAATGTCAATATCTGCCACCAGACCTGGAATAGAAAATTTTCTTCAATGAATATCAAATGATATGTCAGAATGTATGGTGTGGTCAGAATCATATGCAGACCCAAGTCTGGATAAATAAAGAAACAGAAAGAAAAAATTACAAGCTATTAGCCCAGATGTTTTAGCACATCAACCACCATCTCATTGGCATAATCCAGTATATGGTGAGAGTAATTACCCCATGCAAGCATCAATATACTGAAAAACTTGGTTTCCCCTTGTCTGATGGTAGCCACATCAAGTGATCGTTTATGGCCTGCCAGTATTTCGTAAACATTTTAAACTTTGTAACAGCATGCAAAAAAAAGCCAGGATATTACATGTTTGAATGGCATAAATGGATTGAAACCTCGTATAATGGCAAGAACAGCATTAGGTACTGCACATGGATCACCAACTGAATCTAGAAGAGATTTTGCCATGCCATTTCCCGTACCTTCGAAGCATGGAAGAACTTATTAGCTTGACATAACAAAATTGGTACAGTTATTAGTTACATATATGCTCGTTATCTACTTATCACAAAAACTAAATCTTTCAAAAAATCCAGCAAAGAATAATAGCTCCATCTCACCATTCCTGATAAACACAGAATTGCTTCATGTCTCACTCTTGCCCACTAAGCACTCTACAGTAATAAAATCTAATTGGATAAACCCTAATCAACATTTAAAATAAATAACGTAAACCTGCAGGAACTACCCCAATGGGCATCTTTATTGCTGTATCCCAATCCTCTCTTTGAAGAAGTCCATTTACAACCTACTAAATTGTGCGATATTAGTCAGATTAAGAAAAACAATTAATAAACAGACATCAATAGTGGGCAGCGCAGAAATAATCTAGAATAGACAAGTTAAATGGAAAAACTTAGAAATGATCCATACTGCTATTAGGTTTCCCACATATGTTATAACTTCCAGTCATATTTTGTGGGCTTCATTGGTAGCCCAATGCCTAATCCTCAAGGACCACTAAGTTTCCCAGGAAAGAAAGGAATCGAGTAAATATTTTTCAATAAGGTTATGAGCATGATCCAGTACTGCAATAGAATATCTTGGAAGGATATCTCAGAGTCAAGAGTTGTAGAAGTAGTATTAACGAATCTTGTTAATCCATACATACAAGGACATCTCGCAAATCCGGTTCAATTTTCTTTGTATATATTTTTTCTTATCTAACGAAATTAGCAAAGACCATCACTGACATGCAAATAACAAGTATTGGATGGCACACATTATTGATTATTCCTCAGCGCAACAAAACATTTTGCACTAAAAAGGGAAGAGTATTAAAAAGAGTGACCTGATCATTATTATTTGTTAAGACCCGTGGACATGACGAAGATGATGATGATGACAATTACTGCAGCGCAATGAGTGTAATGGAAATGAAACTAACCTCAACCAAAATTCCATCTCCACTGACACAAACAATCCCATCGTACTTGGTAATATCCATCGAATAAGCAACTTCCTTTGCATGGAGCTGATGCTTGGTGTCTGAGGAAAACAATACAATTACAAACCGAATCAACAAACGAAACGAAAAACAAAGAGCAACAACAGTGAAAAATGGTTGGAGAATGAGAGCACACCTTGGACCGTAATTTGGATTTGAGCATCTTCAAGCAGAGGTTTGACTTGATCGAAGAAAACTTTCGCAGCAGATTTCTTCCCACCGAACGGATTAACGAAAACAAACAACCTCTTAGGGCGACCTGCATTGTGAAGCGGTATTCAGAGTTCAAAACACAATAACTAAATCATAGAACACATAACCCTAACGAGAAAAAGATCAAGTTTACCGAGAGAATCAATGTATTCACAAAGCTTTTGGCACCAGAAGCCGTGCGATTCCTCGGAGGAGGGCTTGAAAACGATGTCGTTTCTAACGAGTCTGCCAGAGGAACCGGTGGTGCAGCAACCGTCTCGGGTCTCCACAATTGTCTTGATCTTGATGTAAGGGCCTCTGGTTTCGAACCCGAGGACCTCCTTCTCGACGGACAAACACCGTTGGATTCCCTCCGACCACCATAGACGGCCGTCAGCGAGAAGAGCGAGCGGCGTAACGATGCCGTTCACGGTGACCCGGTCCGAAATTAAGGGACGCTGGGGAACGGTTCGATCCATCTCCGCCTCCGGTTCAGACTGGGATGGCTCACCACCCGGTTCGATTAGAAACCGCCCAAATAATTATTAATTAATTTACAGTGTAAAACCGTGTTTTGATGTTTGAGAGAGAAATATAAACGAATGAGTATTTGAGCGTAGTAACGGCACTATAATTAGAACAGTGTTTCCCTTGTTTGACGCCATCCAGTTCTATTTGTCTTTACATCAATACCAATATTCTATATTAATTTATAATTAATATGTGTCTATGTAGTAGTTATTGGTTGACGTTAAATATTACACATTTATTAAAAGTATCAACAGCCTTTACTGCATCTTCAAATATCCATTATATTTAAAATTATTAAGAGGATAAAAAAGCGTAATAGTGTACTTGTGATGCAAAAAGAAAAAATAGAATAGTGTTAAGTACATATATTAAATGCTAACAATATCGTATAAGCAAGTTGATAGTGGTAAATAATTAACGACCTTAGCGTTCTCTAAAAGATATTTAAAACTCTCACTTGATTTTGAAGGTATTAGCGACTTCTAGCGATAATTTTTTGTTGTTGTATAACATCAATCACATGCTAACGAAATGTACCTAATATTTTATTAAAAAGATGACAACAAACAACAAGCTTTTAATATAAAAAGAGGAACCATTCAAATATCAAAATCGAAATTTACTCAAAATTATATCATGACATAAATTGAGAGACAAGTCGAACAGTAATATACATTTTTGGCCATAAAAATAAATCTGATTAAGCCTCCTTAACAAACCGACTCGCTCTATGTTGATGTATACACCATCAACTTAATCATCCGGGTTTTGTCATGAACAGAGGCCGCTAAAAGGACCAAACACAACGTATTCTTGAAGGAAAAAAATCTGACACAAAAGTCAACAGAAATAAAACACAAGATATCTTAAAAAGGGATAAAGGAAAGAAAGTATTCCCATCATGAAAAGAAAAAATTATCACGAACATAAGGAATTTGATGAGGATACGCAACCTTGCAGCGTGCGAATATGACACGGTTGCTATTTCTAGTCTATCTTTTATTTTCTTTAAGCTTATTACGTAAAAAAGTAACTTATATATATAATTTTCCAAATGGCAAAATAATATCAGCAACAGTCTCAATGTGACGGCACAGTGGTCATGTTAGGGGAGAGCGATGAGTGAGTGATTCTGACCCGCACCTGCTGTATCACCCACGTGGCAAACACTACTAAAATATTGACAAAGATTCTCGATCCAGCGGCTCACATCTCAAGATCTTCTGCAGCCGCAAGATCGAAACCCTACCGCCCAAGCCCAACAACTTCTCCCAGATTCGTAAACCGTTAAACCCATCTCTCACACCGTTAATCCCAAAAAAAAAAGTGAGTTTCGTTCGTGTTAGAAGCAAAAGCGTTGAAGCGAAGAGAAAATTCGCAAACGCTTCGCTGAAATTTCTTAGATTCTGCACTTTTTTTTTCTGAGGATTTTCAACTTTCTGCTTTTCTATCCACTCGCGTTGGATCGAATCTGTTACTCTAGTAACAGTTAGTTTCCTTTTTCTTTCTCTCTCTCTCTCTTTTGTTTTAAAGGATTTGACGACGAAATTCGCCAGCAGAGCCCGTTTGGATGCTGAGAAAACGAAGGAAAAGAAGGTGAGATTTTCCTGCGAGTGAGCTTTCGGTCGGAGCTGAAGAGGTTGAGGTTTTGTATGCGCGAGGGAGAAAAAGATAGTAGTGTGTGGTTGCTGGTGGTGCTCTGAGATTCTTTTCTTTCACTTTCTCAGCAAACAAACGGCGATAAATTAAGAATGCAGACAAGGTATATGGAGAGATCGAATAGTATGGCGAGGGAGAAGCGAAGCTTAGATTCAGGTTCGGGTGAGGAAGACCAACCTGAAAGGAAGCGACCTGCGTTGGCTAGGTAAATTTTTTCAACTTCTTCACCATTCTATCAGCTAGACTGTAGTGGCTAATGATGATTATTTGTTGCTTTAATGAGTTCTTGTACTACCTGCTATTTTCTCTTTTTGTTTAATTAAAAAAAAGAACTGAAAGTGTTGATTTTGAAATTTGTGGAGAAGATGTAAGTTTTGCTGGGTAGTACAGAATTAAACTATATAGAGGAGTACTTGACTTGGAACAATGTCCATTTTAGACCATAACGACGTGGAGTGGTTATGTACATACTGCTCCCCCCCCCCCCCCCCCCCCCCCCCCCCCGGGGGGGGGTGTTCCAAGGTTAATGTGTTATGTACATAGTTTTCCCTTTTTATCGGAGGGGGTTCCCGAGGATATTGAGTGAATGAAAATGACAAGTTGTGATCAATTTTTTGAATCCAAACAATAAATGGATGAATAAGATCTTTGGTTGAATAAAATCTTGGCTTAGACGAGATGAGAAAAAAATGAAAGATACAAAACCAACTAAAGAAGTTGAATGTAATTGATGGAACCAAACTTCGGATTGACTCCGTTCTTACAGTTTAAAGTATAATGTGTTATATCTTGGTCAGATGATACACAAATCTATGTCGGTTTCAAGACATGTCACTCTGTCTAGGTGTACATTGTTATCATGGTATAACCACATATGTATTCATTTGATAAAGCTTAATTTGATCTTAAATTTGCAGTGTAATTGTTGAAGCCCTGAAGATGGACAGTCTGCAGAAACTTTGTTCATCACTGGAGCCTATTCTACGTAGAGTTGTAAGAAAATTATGTTCATTGTGGTATTGATTTGCTGCCAGCCGGGCTATATTATCTGAAGTTATTCCATGCATTGATCATCATCACTCAATCAACCCTTAAAGCGAGCGACACTAAGAAAGAAATATTGCGTCCTTTGGTTGGTAGGCCTTAGCTAGATGTCACAACTGTGAGGCTTAGATAAAATTGGGTAGAGAACTAGATGTCTCATATTCAAATCTTGACAAGCTGAAAAAGATAAAGTCTTTTTTTTGAAAAAAAAAGGGCATTGTGAGGAAGGCTTCCTAGAATAACAGTATTCCTGGAATAACAATTTAACATATTTAATTACCTCACTCAGATACTATTTTGTAAAATTGTAATAAAGTCTATCATTCTGTCCTGTGGTGTCTGTGTATGCCTTGTGTAAACAACTCCGTAGATAAAATGAATCTATATGTATGTATGCTGCTTTACATGAATGTTGTTTGATCATGGATGTCTCTTATATCTTATCCTTGCTTGCTGCTGAACAGGTTAGCGAAGAAGTAGAGCGTGCTTTAGCGAAATTAGGCCCTGCCCAGCTTAGTGGGAGGTATTATTTTGTCACATCAAAGTCAATTTAGTGATCCATTTTTGTTTGGTGATTTGGTTTTATCCTAATGTATTTGTACCGATATTTTGTTTTTCTAATACTCCGTAAATACAGGTCTTCTCCCAAACGCATAGAAGCCCCTGATAACAGCAGTCTACAATTACAATTCAAGACCAGGTTATCGCTTCCCCTCTTTACTGGTGGGAAAGTGGAGGGAGAGCATGGCACTGCGATACATATTGTTTTGGTTGATGTAAAAACAGGACATGTTGTCACATCTGGCCCAGCTTCATGTGTCAGATTGGATGTTATTGTACTTGAAGGAGATTTCAATACTGAGGATGATGATAATTGGAATGAAGAAGAATTTGAGAGTCATGTAGTTAAAGAGCGAGAAGGAAAAAGACCTCTTCTGACTGGTGATCTGCAAGTGACACTGAAGGAGGGTGTGGGAACACTGGGTGAGCTTACATTTACTGACAACTCTAGCTGGATAAGGAGTCGGAAGTTCAGGTTGGGGCTGAAAGTTTCCTTAGGTTGTTGTGAAGGAACTCGAATTCGTGAAGCCAAAACAGAGGCTTTCACGGTTAAGGATCACCGTGGAGAATGTAAGTACATAACTGCACTATTTTTGTTCTATCCTTTTTCTGTAATGAAACTTATACTTGATTGCAGTATACAAGAAACACTACCCACCTGCCTTGAATGACGAGGTCTGGAGATTGGAGAAGATAGGCAAGGATGGATCCTTTCACAAAAGGCTAAATAAAGCAGGAATATATACTGTTGAAGATGTCCTACGACTTGTGGTCAGAGATCCTCAGAGATTGAGAAATGTAAGAATCTGTACACTTTTTGTTAGGGGATTGAGTTTTAAGTTCAACCAAATGTGCAAATCCTCTTTGTTTGGGTTTGGCTTAGTGATTTAACTTTTCTGTCTATTCAAGGTTTTCATAGGTTAACTATCCTTATGTAGATTCTTGGGAGTGGCATGTCAAACAAAATGTGGGATGCTCTTATTGAGCATGCAAAGACTTGTGTCCTCAGTGGAAAACTCTATGTATACTATCCTGAAGATGCAAGGAATGTTGGTGTTGTTTTCAATAACATCTATGAGTTGAGTGGTTTAATTGCTAATGACCAATACTACTCTGCTGATTCTCTCTCCGACAGTCAAAAGGTAAGTCAACATGTACACTCAATTTTGCACGTATGTTTGAATATGGACTGTACGATTGGATTTCTTCCATAATATGCTTAATCTGACATCTCATGCCACTTATTGATAATGTCATCCATTCATGTGACTTTGTTGTTTGTCCAAAGCAATACTCTTTCTTTATCTTGAAGGGGTTCAACACTAAGGAAGAATTTACACTTAATTGGATCATATGCTTGGCTGCAAGTCATTTTGCTTTTATTCTTTCAGTACAACATGAATCGTTTTGCTAGTTTTAAAATCTCTCTCAGGCATAGTGTATCCATAGTAAGGTTTTTGGAACTTTGGTTGACAGATTAGATAGTCAGTTGCTTAGTCTAGATGTACCATTTATGTTATAGCAGTCATAAGACAAGGTGGAAAATTCTCTTCTCTTCTAGGAAAGGAAAATGTGGAAGTTTAATAAAACTTTAAGGGCAGAAAAAGGTGAAATCGCTGAAAAATGTGTCTCTTGTTCATGTAGGTTTACGTGGACACATTGGTGAAGAAGGCATATGAGAATTGGATGCATGTTATTGAGTATGATGGCAAGTCTCTACTAAATTACAATCAGACTAAGACTTTGGTCACCTCCCAACCTCAGGCTCCAATGGATTCCCATGATTATTCAAATTCAAACTCACTTGATCAACAGATCTCCATCCCAAGTCTACCACTTCCTGTATCTACAGGGCAGCCTTCAATGGATCCAGGAGTAGCAGTTGGAGGTATTTTGTTCCAACTATAAGATTATTATATTAGCAACAGAAACAAGAGGCTTTTACCGTTTTTGTTTACCTTGTTTCTTTTTAACTTGCCTCCTTTATGTTTTTTCTGTTGTTTTACTTCTCTGTTATTCATTTTTCCTTTTTTTAACTTAATCCTTACATCTACCTTTCTCTGTTTCTTCTATGAAATTAGCTTGAATTAGTGGACAGACTCTTCACACATGCACAAGCACACAGAGCAGGCAGCAAACAATCTTTTTTTAGATTAACATAAATAGTGTTTAGATTTTGGAGTGCTTGACGTGATAATAATGTAATAGGTCTGACATGTGTCACATTGTGAAAACAGTATCCCCTGGGGTTGATCTTTACAAATAGGAAGGATAGCATTACATGATGAGTTTAGTGAGTTGTTTTTTTACCACATAAATGTATAGAATATTTTTCTCACAATAGATGTTTGTTCTCAAAAGGATGATTTCAGAGAATGAGATTTTGGTTGCTGACTATATATATGAATAACGTGTGCAGGTTATCATAATGGGACAACTACCGGATGCTCAATGCAACCACAGAATGATAATACTAATTCTTCTTTTCACTTTGATAATACTGCATTCCCACTACAAAACCAGCTAATGAGTGCTTCAGACCAATCCCTACTTCCAAGAAATGAAAATGGGTTGACGGTTTGTCCACGGCAATCCACCGCTTCAGGCTTTCAGACTGTAAGCAATCCTACTTATAAAGGATTTGAGGACTTCTTCCCGGAGGAGGAGATTCGAACTAGAAGTCATGAGATGCTAGAAAATGAAGATATGCAGCATCTTCTCCGTATTTTTAATATGGGAGGGCAATCTCATACTTCCTTTAATGCTCCTGAAGATGTGTACCCTTATTCATCTCCATACATGCCTACGACCTCCGTGGGCTACAACACAGATGATGAACGAACTCGTTCCTCAGGAAAGGCTGTTGTGGGCTGGCTCAAGCTTAAGGCGGCTTTGAGATGGGGAATTTTTATTCGGAAGAGAGCTGCTGAGAAACGGGCACAACTTGTTGAGTTGGAAGACTCGTAAATATGGAGCCAGAGCCATATTGATTAGGTTAACAAATGCTCCTTTTATGACATTCAGAATAGCTATCATACTGGAGTTTTATAGCATGAGTAAGACATGAAATCTGGATTGAATTATTTGGTGCAGCCTTAACTTAAAGCTCCCACTGTGCATTCATAAACAGTTGTGCAGCGATCTCTGCCTGTACAGGAATATCACCCTGCAACAACTCATCTGTTTTACTTGTGATGTTTTCCCCCTCTACACTATTGCCTGCAAGTTGTGAAGACCCGACAGTTTACCACCTGGTTTAAACAAAAAGTCTGTGGTGGCTTGAAATTATCAGGATTTCTAGAAACTTGGAAAGCTGGGATTATTCGTTTACATTGAGCAGGATGTACTGAATTTTGTGTTGTAGGCTAGATGGGTGGAACTTAACTGGTGTGTTTTGTGAAGTTGCCTTGTGGCGCAAATCAGTATTGAATTGCTGGATTTGGGACTGCTATTTGTTTATTTGCCTTGTGAATGTTTCAGCGGACTTGTAAGTCTGCACGCTTTGTCAGGGGCTACTGGTCTTGTGATACTCATCTAAAAAGTGAGAAAAGATGTTAGACCTCACCTGCTATATTCCTGAATGGACTAATAAATTAATCACTCTCATTTTTAATTAAGAATTACACATTTATGGTTCGTACTTCATGTCTTGGCTTTTGAAATATTTTTTATGGTAGTTTTCATTTTTTGGGCGGTTGTGGACTTGGTAGAGTGGTAGGGGAGCCTTCATGGTTCTCCGATGGGTTAGAAATATGAAATGCATTCATTTTGAAGATTGATTTAAAGTAAAAAAAATATGGTAAAATTTTATTAAAAATTAGTATAAAAAGTATTAAGGTATATTAAATAATTTTTTAATATAAATTCATTAATTTGAGTTGTTTACACCACTTGTTATATTCCAAATGGACAAATAAATGAATTACACTCATTTGTATGATATTAATTTTGTTTTAAAATTAAATGATTTCTTTAAAATTAAGTTTTAGCATTTAAAAGTAACAAAATGTATATTAAAAAATATATTTATAATATTAAATTGTTAATGATTTAAACAATTTTAATAGTAGGATTTTGTCCATTTCTCTTTGAAAATTAAGAGGATCAATTTTCTCTCTTACACACATACTTTTTACGGTTTGTTATTAAAAAAAATTATAATTATTATTTTGTTCACATCTTTTATATTAAGAATAGATATATGAAAACAACCATAGGTCATGTGTTAGTATATATCAATTTATGTTTTAGTTTTCTTACGTTAGTAAGTTACATCTTTGATATATTTTAAGAAAATCATAATTATAATTCACTAACATATTTCTTCTAAAAAAAATAAGTGATCATATATTAACAAATCACATAAACACAATTAAATGAACAAAAACAATTAAATCAAATAAATAAGAATGACATATGATCAAATAGCAATGAAAGTTCTGATGAAAAATAAATATATAAAGTAATTAAATCAATATGAAACGATTAAATTAGAAGTTACAAGGATTTAATTAGTTTAATATATTTTATATATTTTTTAAAATTTTTTTGTGTTAAATTATAAATATATGCATATATTTTTATGTTAATATTTTAAATTCTCAAATCTGTTTTAATGACTTTTAATTTTTCTTTTTTCATTAGCTTTAATTTTCATTTTACATTATAATTACTTACCTTTTAAGATTAATTATTTTAATTTCTACTTTGTTTTTATTTATATAAACTTATACTTTTCAGTATTAAAATGCTTTTATACAATGCCAAAAGAGTTATTAGTTGTTTTAACAAATTTAGATTTCACTCTATTTTTTACAAGTTAAAATGTATATTAAATACACTACATAATTGTGGATTAAAAAAATTAATATTTATATGATGTAAGGTTTTATTATATTCTTGTGGGTAAGGTTAATCTATTTAGTAATATTCCTTGTATTTAAATCGTACTGTATGCAAACGACAGTTATAAACTACTGAGTAGAAATTAGGCTCAAATTATTTTCATAAAAGATAGTCATATTAAAAATTCTCTAAAATACTTAAGTGTCAATTGAACTCAAATTTTATTAAATAAAATATACATTATTATGCTCTATTTATAAAAAATAACTACTAATATGTTTTTAAATTATAATAAATAAAGAATTATTTTAAATTCATTAATTATTCAAAATTTGGTACTTTTATTTATTGTAAAATTTGTGTTAATGAGAAATTCACCAATTACCTATATACATAGATATATTCATTTATTTAATGTATGTATTACTAATTTAATCATTTATTACTATAGGCATATTTTATTTAATTATTTGCTATAAATATTTTAAAAAACATTATAAATTTGTCATATATAATTAAATTATTTATAAAAATGGTTGACAGAGTATAATTCTATGCATTAAATGTTTTCTTAATATAAAAACCTTTCGTTTTCTTTTATATGTTTTTTTACGATAAATAAAAAAATCATTAATTAGTTATCACTTTTTGTTGCGTCTATTATCAATCATTATTATCTATTAATTTAGTTATCTTGTCTTTTTTTCCCTTGACTTCAACTCTTAATTAAATATTAACATTTCATAAAAATATTTATATATTTATGTTCCCTTATTTGGCAATGTTTGTCTCTTAACATAATTCCTTATTATTAAATTTAATATTTAAATGGAGATAAACAAAAGAGAAAAAAATTAATTAAATTATTTTTTTCTTTTTTATTTGATTTTTTTTTTCAAAGCTCACACTTAGTAGTTTTTTCATTTTTAAACAAAATTAATTGGTTATTATCCTTAAACATCTTATTAATGATTCACCAAAAAAATTGTTAATAATAATAATAATAATCATTATTATTTTTAAATAAAAATCGCTTACATCAAAAGCTTGTTACACGTCACGAATTCTTAACAGTTTGGCTGTCTGGTGAACCAATTTTTTTAGCACAATGCAAAAAAAAGGTTGTTGCTACTAAAAAAATTATCATTTACCAACAAAAAAAAAATCAATTAGTAAGATAATTTTTTGGTAAAATTTTGGTTTAACAAAAATATATATACTAATATTTGATAAATTGATAGTATATATTAAGTATTTTTGCTAATGAAAATATTTGTTGATATATTGTATTATATTAATATTAATATAAAATCATAATATTTATATTAACAGAATAATTTTTGTTAAAATAAATCTAATCAACTTTTATATTGTAAATGAGAATTTATTATTTGGAAAATTTAGCCTTAGTGGAATTATTTTAATTGCACTCTTTTTTTCGCGTAATAAATTTTCTTTTTATTCATATATTTTTATAATTTTAAAAATTGAATTTATTACTTAACTTTCTCTTATTAGTTATTATCTTAAATTTGGTGTTTACTTGAATCCCATATTTTGAATTTATAGTTATTAATATATTTATTGTTGACATTTAATTCAATTTTTTCAAAACTATACAATAAAAATATTATTTTAAAATAAATTATATTTTATTAATTCTTTATCATTTTCATATATACTATTCAAGTCAAAATGCTTTTTAAAAAAATTATTATTTAAACTAATTTTATTATATATATATATATATATATATACAATAAAACATATCTACATTTCACAACCTAGTTACTAGTATTGATAAAGGTTAATCTAAGTTAAATTATCAATAAATAACGTTTTCTTTTAGGTAGTGCGCATAGATAACAACTACTACGAATTTTTCCATGGGCTTTATTGTTTTTCTATATTACAAAGTCTGCGTTCATCTCACCGGAGTTATTGCTTAAGATACATTTTTTTTTACTTGCAATGTGAAATTAGCCCTATACACTATATATCAACAAAACGACCACTAAGATTCTAAATGTTTTTTAAATAAAACAGATATTTCTCGAACTTAATCAGTAAGAAAAAAAAAAAAAACAAATTAATGTTGTTTTTTATTTTAAGTTTTAATGAAATTAATTTGAAACCATGCAATTAAAATAACGTGTTTAAATTAATCACAATATAACATGTTCAATATTAAAAAGCAAGTAAAGTTGAGAAATTTTGATTTTAATTATTATTCAAATTAAGTGGGCATTAGTTGATAGTATACATGAATCACCAAGGTCAAAAGCATGCACGTAATAATAACTAGCCAGCCACCATGTAAAATGTGAAACGACATCCACCTCATCTCAAGGACATGTCGTTTCACCCGTTTGACCAGGGATTCCCAGTGGAACGAGTGTAAGAGGGTAATGATGCATATTTTGAACTATTTTTATCTTAATTTAGATATTGATATGTTTACTATAACTTTTATTCTCAGTTTTATTATTTTTTATTAAGTAAAATAATCATATAAAATGATAATTTAAAATCAACTTACTATTAGTTATATATTTTTTATTTTAAAAAATTATTATAAATATTTTTTTTAACAAAATAATTTTTTATTCTCAAATTTTTGATAAAATCTAATATAGAATTTAAGAAAAAAAAAACAGTATGTTAACAATAATTTTTATTAAAATTTTTTAAAGCCTAACATAAGGCTTAATTGAATTAACCAACCTATTTATTGAGTTATCCAATATACTCATCTGAATTAATCGATAAAAAATTAGATAAAATTAAATATTTTTTTAAACAACTCAGTTAAATATAATTAACTAATTTTAGATCTGACCCACCTAAAATCGACCCACATCACTCCTAGAGAGAGAAAAGAGAGTGAGAGGATATATTTTTCTTCATTCTTCATTCTTCATTCCAAACCAAACCTTCCAAAAAAGCCAGAACTGTCAGAATTCAGAAAACCCAATTACGTAAAAGGAAACTTAATAAATTTCATGATCGTGATTTGGGAGTATAAATTCCAATGCCCCTACATTTTTTCATCAAGTTCTTGGTTCAATGGTTTACACATGAGAACCAATCGTTTATACATTCCCTTGTACGTTCATTAGTTTTATGGAAAACTGATTTTTCAGTGAGAAAAATTTCATCTTTTCACTGCTTTCTCAATGCCGAGGCTCCAAACAAAGCCCAAACGAAAGAGAGCCAAAGGGGTCTCACTCAGCCCAGAGGAGAGACCTCTTGCTAATCTTCCAGATGACGTGTTGGAGAATGTTTTCTCTTTCTTACCCCTCGTAGAGGCAATAAAAGCTTCCACTGTGTCGAAGAGGTTCAAAAAATCATGGCGTCTCAATCGCAACTTCGTTTTTGGTAGAGAATTTTCTCTGCGCTATAACCGAGACGACCTCACTGCACTGGTGGATCGCCACTTTGATTCTCATGAGGGTGATCAGATCCAAGTTTTTCAGCTCCAAATTGATCCGATTGGGGTTGAAGAGTTGATCCAAAAGTGGCTCCGAATTTGCATCCACAAGGGAGTACAAGAGTTGGAATTTTACTTTTTCCAACCCGGTTTTACCCTCAGAGCTGATTCTATCGACAACCTTAAATCATTGAGAACCTTAAAGCTTGTCTACTGCGATTTTCAAGTGCCACCTGTCCTCACAAGCATGCAATTCCTGAACACACTTGTTCTGTGGCAGCTTCAGCTCCCAGAAGATAAGCTTGAGACGTTGTTGTGCGGTTGTAAGTTGCTTGAGACTCTTGATTTGTTTCAGTGCTCTGTAATTCGCCTTGCGTATATCCAGGTTAGGAACCACAGACGTTTCAAGGTGTTGAAAATTTCTTGTTGCGCTGATTTGGAAGAGATTGTGATCGATTCCCCAACCCTAAGTTCTATGTTCTATTGTGGGTACGTAGTAAGTATCCGATTCTTTAACAAAGTTGAATTGGAAGAGGCGATCTTCAACTTTGAACCTGCTAGTTACAGAAGCTATTTGCCATCTTCTCTGGTGGATCGTCTTGTCCTTGATATCAGTCATGTCAAGGTTCTATCCGCTTCAGCTCTAGTTCCTGAGGTATATGACATTTAATCTTTGTTATTTTATTCCTTTTCAAATAATGCTTGCTACATTTATTATACCTTGTATATGTTTTTAATTAGTATAGTTTTTATTGCATGTATCTTAAAAGTATAATTGAAATTAAAGGCATTTTTGTTGTTTTAATTTTGTGTTTATGAAACATTTTCATTGATAGATTGACGATGACGTACTTTTTTTTTTATATAACAAAAATGTTGATTCAGGCTATGGCTGCTAGGGTTCGTAATGGGTATTTTCGAGACGCAAATTTCTGTTTGGAGAATCTCACGGAATTTCAGTTGTTCATGGAAGGGGGACTTTTTTGCAATCCATACGATGTTCTCATGTTTCTCCAGCACTGCCCTAAACTGGAGAAGCTGATAATCGATGTAAGTATACTACTAATTCATCCTCAAATAATTAACAGTTACTAATTTCTGATTGATACTCCTATGATTTAACAATCGGAAGGTGTATAGAGTCGTTAATAATTAGGAAAATGGGTTATATTTTTCTATTGGTGCATTTTATTTTGAATTAACAATTCTCAGTCCTAAAAGATCATAAGGTTAATTTCCCCGGTAATGATGGAAGCATTATACCATTCGATTTCCATTTATCAATCCCAAATAAGATTGTTCTTTTTATTAATAAAAATCAGTATAAATTTACTATATAAAAAATGTGTATAAATTTATTGTTACGGATAATAAATTATTCCGAATTAATCATGGATAAAATTTTAATGATAAGTATGTTTGGTCCTAACCATAAGTAATATATGTTATTATTCGTTTGATAAAATTTTAATACCTTTTCAAATTCATTATTTTTAATTTGAAGTTAGAGCCTTGCACTTGTTTTAAAAAATGTACTTTTGGTAATGCCATATATAACTTGATTATTAATTCTGGAAATTTTTAAAATACTTCTTATATTATTAGATTTATTTTAATATAACTATTACATTTATTTTTATATATGATTTGAAGTCAAATTCTATAAATAAATATATAACTTTATTAATTAATGTTGTTATTAATATTTTAACTAATACTTTTGAAGCATTATGTTTGCATATAAATACACAAGTTTGAATTTATTAGTTTCTTTGAATCATAACTATTTATTTTACAATGATAATAATGTGATTTAAATTTATAACATCCTGTATATTATGCTAGTCTTTTATAATTTGTCTAATCCTTGTGACTTTTGATTATATACAATCATCTCATGTATGATTCAATTATTTTTTATTAGAACTTTTTTGCTATTCTATATATTACGTATATATCACTCTTCTCTAACTGATTTGTATTTAATTTAATAGTAGTTATTTATTTACTTTAGTTTGTTTGTATATTTTACAACTAAATGTATAAAATATATTTTAACACTTCAAATAACCACTTAATTACTTTGGACATTGGGGTGTCACTTTTGTTTTTTTTTGGGGGTCAATGGGTATCACTTATTTGTGTAATCAACGTTTATCTCTTGTTGCCTTTCTTTCTGTAAAACTCAGAAGAATAAATCTCATGATTATTTTTAAATATAATAAATTTTAATATTTTATTAATTAATAATAATAATAATAATAATAAATATTTCATTATATTAAATGACATTAAATTAAAAAGATAAAAGTTCAAGATTTAACTTATACCTGAATTAAAACAATTTAAACATTCTCGCTTAATTTTTAAAGTTATTCTATTTGACTTTATTTATCTATTATATATATATATATATATATATATATATATAATAGATAAATAAAGTCAAATTAAAATAAAAAAGGCATTTTTTCAATTTCTTTACACATTTTGCAGCTGAATGACTACAATTTTGATTGTGGAACGTACTGGGAATTGCATCAGAAGCCTAACATTGACAAATTTAGTGACTTTAATCGGCTAAAAGATGTTAAGCTGAAGGGCTTCAAGTTTCTGCCGTCTGAACTTGAATTTGTGAAAATCCTTCTTCAGAGAGCAATCTCTTTGGAGACGCTGATTTTCGTCACACCAAAGAATGGCCGTACTAAGTTGAACTCAGAAGATAAACTCAAATATAAACATATTATTCTCAGTTGGAAAGCCTCGCCAGCAGCAAAAGTAGTTTTATATGAGCATTCTCAAGACAAAGGGGAAGTTACTCCATCCCATCCAAAATGTTGGTTCTGATGAGATCAATCACCGTTTAGGTGGTAATTAAGGATGTGTTTGTTTGAATAAATAAAAATATAAAATGTAAGATAATTAGTAATGTGTGGTTAGAAGGATAACTTTGGGTGTAAGTAAATATTCTCTTAAAACTAGGTTAAAGATTGAAGGATTACCCTATATTTCAAATAAACAAAGAAACTAATCCTTAAATTTTGCGATCCAATAATTTTAAGTTAATGCTAGACCTACCCTGAAGTTATTCATTTAGATTTCGAAGTTGCTTTTGGAGAGGAAAAGGAGTCATTATACACAGCTATGAGCACAAGAATTCAGGTTGTTTTATGCTTGTAGAAAATGGTGTACGATGTAGAACACAGGGTTTGTTCCCTTCCGTGTCTACATGCCTTGTACTTTATGTCTGTACACAGGAGTAAAATATACTTGACCCTTGTAGTCTTTTCTGGGGTTTTGATTGAAGGTGTTTTAATGGTGAAGTGCTAATTCTGCGCAGTTGATCCATTGTAACAGTGATAGTTAAAAGAACAACAATATATCCATTCAAATATTTTACTTTCGAAGGCTAAACTTGATTGTGAACTCTCTTTAGTCACTAAAGCGATTTCTCATCCTATGGCAAGGTGCATTTGTTTTTCTCCATTTTTTTTACTATGGCAATCTGCTTCTTTGTTATCGTCTCATTCAATCTAAATTAACTTTTAAACACAAATTAATGATTAAAACGAAACTTGGACGATTTCTACTACAAGTTGAATGGATGTGATAATTTTCAGTCAGGATCAATGTAAGATAGATTAGATGTCAGATCTTGATAAATTCAAGAGATCTATGTTTAATGTAACATTGAAAGTCCTTCCAAATATACAAAATATTAAAAATGTAAAGAATTGATGAATTTTACAGTGCATCTTATACAATTTTGAAAGCGACATGATTAAATTTGACGTGATTAAATTATATAATTGCAATGGTTTTTCATGTGTGAGTCATAAACAAAACAAAATCAATTCACTGATCAGTCTTCGAGGTTTATTTATTGCCAACAATAAACCAAACAAAATTAATTTTCTACTGATAATGTATATTTATATTTCGATGCTATAATTTTCAATAAAAACTAACTATATACAATTTATTATTTTATAAAATGTTGTACAAATTAGAAAAATCATAAAAATATTAAAATTTTTATTTAACCTTGTCATTTTTTCTTGCTGGTGTAAGCTATTTTTACTTAAATTACATTATATATTTATTCTCTATAGTCAATATACATTCGTTTATAAATTAATTTCTATACGAATATTTTGTCACATTTAATCATTCTTATCAAGAGTATTACACTAATATGAATCAAAATATAACAAAAAGTACGATAAATGATAAAATATAAAATTAAGTAAATTTTTTTATAAGTTTATTAAATATGTTATAAAGATAAGGTTGAATTATATTATATTTTTTTATTAATTTTGGTTTGCTATGTTTTTAAAAAAATATATTCTTTTAAAAATTATAATTTGTTGAAGTATACATTTAATTTTTATAGTTGAAATATTTATGAGGTAGTTTTAATATTTAAAAGAAAAATTACGTTTTAGTTTTTATGAGTTTTTTATAATATTTTCTTCACTTTTATTATTAATAGTAATTATATTGATAAAGATCAAAATGTAACAAAATATTTGTATATGAATTAAAATATAATAATATATATAAAAATTAATTTATAAATAAATGTTAATTATATAGACTAAACATATAATTTAATTTTTTTTACTTATTTTAGTGGATTAATTTGGATGGGCTAGATAACAGATAGATGAGAATTTTGAAACTCTTTAAAATTATATTACAATTGAAACTTGTGTTCATTCAGCATGGTGTACAAACGTATATAAGATTTTTATTAATATTTAGGTGTTAAACTTTGATACTCTATTTAATAAATTTTCATAGAATGTAAGATTGATTAATGTAATTGTTGGCATGCTTCTCCATGCCTGCGAACAAGGTTTCCAAGATTAAAATCTAGCTAGTGCATTAAACCATTTATTGCCCACCAAATTTTTTTATGAAGAAGCTTAATATATGAAGACATTATTACGAGGAATATGGTTAAAAGAATGATTGAATTTTAAGAAATACTGAAAAAAATATAGTGTTGTTTTAGTATTGGGTGTAGTTTTTAATCCAAAAATAAAGTTATCATTATTGATTTATTGCTGTTCAAAAGTTGATTCATTAACTTATAACGGAAATATAAAGCACATAAGAAAAAAGTTACATATGCTTTTTGACAAGTATCCAAGTCAAAATTATATTTCATCAAACTTGTAAAATAGCATTTAAAACAACTTGTCAACAATGGTAAATTCTAATATCATCTCTTCTTTTTAAAAAGTTAAAACAATACTTTTCAATAAGTAAAGTGTAATTAATTTTAAACCGTCAATATTTGTAAATAAAAAATGAATAGTTAAGATTAATTAGTAAAAAAGTTAAAAATCAAGAGTATCACATAACTATATTGGAGAATAAGATATTAATGAAGAAAAAATAAGTAAATTATTACTTCTTCTTCGTCTCTTTCCTCTTTATCTTTATTTAAAAATGAGTTTTCCTAATTCTCCTTGTCCTCTTCATTGAATATTTCTTTATCTTTCTTGTTTATCTTGCTCCCAACAATGATTTTGTTCAATTCATTTATTTATTCTGCAATTTGGTTACAAAAACTTTATTTATTTATTTTTAGAAGAAGAGAGTTGTTGTTGCTAATGCCAAAATTAAAACTCAACATGTGGTCTTTCCTTGTTTTTCTCTGTGGCTTCTTCCACAATTTCCTCTGAATCAGATGCACTGCCCTATCAATTGAAACTTGGTTTCAATCTCAAAAAATATGTTGAAATATGGTCGCAAAAATCTCACAAAAAAGAGAAAGACCTCTAACAAAGTCAAGAAGAATATGAAACGTAGTTGAGAAAAAGCAAAAATAGAAAAAAATAAAAACATAAAAAAATATATTTTTTTTTAAAAATGTAACTTTTTTACATTAGTTCTCTCATAAAATTGATGCAAAAAAGTTTTTTTTTTTTTATAAAAAATACTTTATACATTAGTTCTCTCTCGAGAGAGATGATATAGAAAGTTTTTGTTTTACTCAACTACTTTTACATTAGTTTTCTCAGAAAAATGATGCAGAACATATTTTTTTTTATAAAAAAATATTAACTTTCTACATTGGTTATCTGGAGAAAATTGATATAAAAAATTATTTTTTTTACGCAACTAGTTCTACGCTAGTTCTCTTAGAAAACTGATGCAGAAAGTATATGATGCTAATGAGATGAGAATAAAAGAAGAAAAAAAGGAGAAAAATGACGAAGGAGAAACATAAATAAGATTCTAAATTTTTTAAATTTTTTAGTGTTATATTTTTTTGGATAAATATTTTGTCATTTGCAAATCCTTTACGAGATAAGAATGAAAGAGAGAGAAAGGAGAAAACAAATAAAAAGGGAAGAAGAGAACAAGAACAAAAAATTGAAAACTGATATTCGAAAGAAACAATTGCATAATTATATTATTGATTTTGAAATCTATATATTTTTTGGTAATTGTATTAAGTATTGTTCAACAAATTATGTATCAGTGACCGATGAAAAATATGAACTTTCAACTTATAATTCTCACAAATTGAGAAAGAAGAAAAATATGAAATTATTAATGTATATTTTCATAAATTTAACTTAAATAATCAATTTTTTGTAATACATTTTTAACCATTCTATTAAAATTAACAGTGCATAGTATTTGATAACTTTTTTAAAAGTTATCTTAACCTTATTTTTTTTTATAAAAGAAGTGAAGATATTAAAATTGTAAATACTAAAACTGCATAACCAACAATTTACAACTAAAATGAAAAGTTCTCAACTTCACATTTATTTGGATGCATCAAATTTAGATTTTAATTTTTTATGACATTTCTTAAATCGAACATAAGCATATTAATATAACATAAATTATATAATATATACTTAAGATTTATAAAATTTAAATGTTTATTTTTTTAATATTTTTTATCTATTAAATATTATATTTTTTATATATCTACATATATAAATATTATACACGTCCAATGATTTGTATTTCACTTAAAATTTTTAATTTGATTATTATTAATTAAATTTAAATAAAATTTTATTTATTTGTTACTCTTTTTAGAGATCAACCCATCAATCTACTTTTAAAAATAATGCTATTTAAACACATTGTTTAGGTGTTTACACCGTACGTAGTATATATCAGTATCTATTTTTAAAAAATTTAAATTAAAACTTCACTCTTCCGCATACAGTGTTAGGTATAAACACATAAACGGAGTGTTTGAATAATATTATTTTACTTTTAAACATGTTCACGATGGAACTGGACTGATTGACTTGTTTTACCGTCCTTAAATCAAATTATATGGTTGTGTTTGTGCTAAAGTGAAAAAATCAATAAAATAAATTTAAATAAATAATTATTAACAAATTAATTTTATCAAGTTTGTAAGTAGTGACGTACGTTAAAAATAAATCGAGAAGATGATGAGTTAATAATATGTGTGCCACTTTCTTTTTAACGAGGATCCATAAAGTAACCGAGGGAAAAACTATGAAGAAGTGTTTGACTCCATTTATTTGGAATTTTTTAAAAAGTTATTATTTTTTTGTGTACTATATTGTTATAATTAAATTATAATAAAATATTTTAATATATAAGAAAAATATATTTATGTTCATTTTAAATTTTAATAATTTTATAAAAATAAATCTTTTAATTATATATAAAAAGTACTCTATCATATTAAATAAAGGGATAAATATTGCATAAAAAAAATTATAAAAACTTCAAATTCTAAATTAACATTAAATTGAAAAATTTAATGTGAAGAAAATATCTTGACAAAAAAAAAAAAAGAGAAGTAACTTTTAAAAGTATTTTTTTTGTTGAAAAACTTCCAAAAAAGTATATTTTATTAATTTTTTTCACAATATAGAAGTTAATTAATTAATAATATTTTTTATTAAATAAAATAATATGAAGGGAAAAATTTTAAATTATAAATTGTGAAAAAAATAAATTAATATCTATTTTTTTTAAAAAAAGTGTTTGATAAAAATCTACTATCCAAAATGCATAACTTTTGGTCCAGAACATGATTATTTTTACCGAAAGTAACCATATTCGAGTAATAAAATTATTATGGATAATCCAAAATATATAATTTGAAAAAAAAATTAATTTAAAAATATTTTTTTATTTTAAAATTGAAAATATATTTCTGTTTATTATTACATGAATTTCAAGAACTTAAATCATGATTTTATTTTATGACTTTATTACTTAACCTCTGTATATTAAAAAGTGTACTTATAAAAGATATTTTGATATTTAAATTAATAAAAATACTTTGCAAGTGTACATTAATAAATATTTTTATTTTAAAAAATAATAGGACCATTTGATAAAAAAAAATACAATGATATTATCTTTCTCGTTTTGATAGGATCCTAACCATTGTTTGATACTTATTTTTTAAATATTTAAAACAAAATAAAATATTAATTATTTTACAAATTTTTTATTTAAGTTGAAATCGTTTTTAAGATATAAAATATTTATATTTTAATTTTTTCAACAAAAAAATATTTTCAAATTTTAAAAATAAGTATTTTCTTCTTAAATATAAGATGTTTATATTTTTATTTATTTATAATATTTGAACCTTTTTTTTTATCAATCGAACCTAAGCATATTGGCATAACATAAAATATATAATAGGATTAAGATACAATAAATTTAAACATTTAATTTGATTTTATATTTATATCGATAAAATATTTTCTTTCTATATTTATGTGTATAAAAATTGTACACATCTAACATAAATTCAATTAGAGTTGCAATACAGATTTTCATTATCTCCGAATCTACATATGGTATAATATTTTGATTATTTCTAAATTTAACTCGTTTAATTTAACCCTAATTTTCTGAAACTGAAATTAAAAAGAAAAATATTTGAAATTTTTGAATAGAACCTAATAAAAGAAGGCACAGCCGCCAGCCGCGTATTTAGAATGGTGGTCAAACAAACCTAGGACACAAGTACTCCTTTGGTCCACTCTTCATCATCGTCATCGATAAACGACAACTCCCACTTTGGATTCCAACACGTGTGTCTATGTCATTGGTTGGAGGGCTCTGATCTTTGCGGTGACATGTCGTCATCTGAATGCGTCCACGTACATAGAACGTGTTCTGGAAGGTACCGACAACACCGACTCCGGCCGACCAAATTGCCACGTCAGATCCATCTGTTACCGCGTCTAACGGCTAGTTTCTCCGTTGCCTTTTTTAGCTGCCAACACGTCACGAGTGTGGGGGATTGGAAGTTTCACACGTAGTTAACTTACTCCACTTTTTTTATTTAAATATAAAATTTAAAAAACTGCAAGTTTTGTTGGTTTATATACGAAGGTTTGTTTTTATATTTTGTCCTAATTATTAAACCAATCGTGGAGTTCTATCAATCTGTTACTTTAAATTTCAATATGTTACTTTAAATTTCAACTTCTGGTTTCCTCCTTTGGTAACGACCAAGCGTTTTTCAGAAGCGGAAAAAGAAACCCTCGTAAATTTTGCACCTGCTATTTGGAACTGGTTCGTCCAATGTCTATCTTTTCAAATTTTCTCTCCACTTTTTATTGATTTTCCTGAAAACTATTTAAGGAAAGTATTGATATTTACCACATTCGAATTCATAGTCTTATTGATTCCCTCATGGGTTTGTGGCAATGGCTAATAAATAGATGTTCTTGGCCATCGTTTATTGCAGATTGCAGCAATCATCTGAGATTTTGTGCTTTTGTCTTCGGAATATGTCAATTGGGCTTCCGGATTATACTTATACTCGGACATTAGGAAGGAAGAGGGTCGTTGTTTCCAACAATGTTGAAGCTTTTCCTCGTGATGCTAAGAGAATTTGCAGCTGCAGAATCTCTCAGAACTCTGGCACGTTTCCACTTGAAGCCCTTCCTCTGGATATTATGGTAATTATGGGAATTTCAAGTTTTATTTTATTTTTTGTAATTTCTGTGAGGTGAATTTCAAGCTTGGATTTTGATTTTCAATGAGTTTTATTTCTAATTGTGTTCTGGGTGGGTATTCTGAAATCTGAATGGCAGATACAGGTGCTGCGTGGTGTAGACCATCAAGATTTGGAGCAGCTTGTTCAAGTGTCAAAAACTATCAGAAAAGCAGTGAGTATTAGTAGAAGAAGGCCAGTTGCATTGTTCAGTTTGGTTGGCTTGTGTTTGTAATTTCATTAATCTAACTGGGACTTGTTGGCTTTTGGCTATTGCAGACTCGGATTGTGAAGGAATTGCATTTTAAGTATAGCACACCAAAAAAAACTTTTGTTCTTCACAATCCATTTGATTTGGACGATCCAAATTTTCAGGAAATTGAACCTCCAAACGCACCATTGATAAAATCAAAGTCAAGGTGGAGAGGGAAAAGGCTGGCTGGCATCTCAACGACCTTGTTTGCTTCGGGGGATGAAGAACAGTGAGCAAGGAAGGGCAATTGTGGATAACGATTAGAGATAAGGATTGTTAATAGAAGATTACATTTAAATATTGTGAATAGATTTACTTAAACGTTGCCATTAGCCTTTTTTACACGTTAATAAAATCTCATAAGCCATTTCTTCCAATCCTTCATTGAAGATTCCTTTGGCTTGTGTAGAGCTTTCTGTACATCTATAGATAGGCAACCAGAAAATAAAAAAAGAAAAGAAAAGAGATTAGCATTGTTCGGAGGGCAATATTTGACCCTTCTACTCTGATAAATTGGAGCGTGTACAGTTGATGATGCTGTATACACTTTGTGCTATTAATGAAACGAGAAAAGTTTCTTTTCATATTTTCCTGAATACTGGATGCCTTTTTTCATAGATTTATTTTGCGATTTTTTTAGAAGATTCATAAAATGTTTATAAATGTGAGATATTTCCTTTTTATTGAAAAATGAATAAACTATCGAATTTGTTTTGGCTTAGGGCATATCTTTCTCTAAATCTATAGATAGGCAAACAGAGAAAAGAATATGAGAATTTGTTTGGAGGACAATCTTTAATACTTCTATTCTAATCAATTTGAGTGTGTTCAACTAATACAGATACATTTTGTGTTATTTTAAATGTCGAATGTTTTAATTCTTGGTGAGTCCTAAATATTTTGTTTTACTTTTTTTTCTTCAAGATTTTATTGTGTTATCATAATATATTTATTTTGTTTTAATAGAACTTCTTAAAAGATTTACAAAAAGTTTATAATTTTGAGATATTTTCTCTCAAATGAGAAATAGGTAAATTATCAAATTAGTTCTAGCTTGTTTGCAATCTTTCTTTAAATCTATAGATAGGCAAATATAGAAGAAAATATGAGAACTTTGTTTAGAGAGTTATTTTAGCACTTCTATATATTCAAATAAATTTGAGCCTATAAACTAAATATTGCTAAACTTTGTATTATCTTAAATAAATTTTCAACATTTTATGAATCCTAAATATTCTCTCTCTTTTTTTCTTCAGAGTTATCATAGTAGATTTATTTCATCTTAACTAGACATCTTGAATGATTAACAAAATGTTTATAATTCTATGATATTTTCTTTTAATTGAGAATTAAGTAAACTATCAAATTAGTTCTAAATTATATGCAGTCTTTATGTACATCTATAGATAGGCAAATAGAAAAGAGAATCTGAGAATTTTGTTTGGAGAGTAATCTTTAGCATTTCTATTCTAATAAATTTGTGTGTACAACTAATACTGTATATACACTTTGTGCTATTTTGAATAAACGGCGAAAGTTTTAACTCTCTGAATCTTAAATATTATGTTTTACTCATTTTTTTTAATGAAACTTCTTAAAAGATTCGCAAAATGTTTATGATTATGAGATATTTCCTCTCAATTGAGAAATGAATAAATCATCAAATTAGTTATAACTTTTGTGTACATCATGGATAAGCAAGCAAAAGAGAAATTCTAAGAATTTTGTTTTCCATTAGTTTACTTCAATAGATATAAGCGGGTACAACTGATATTGTATACACCTTGTGTTGTCTTAGTAAAACAAGAAAAAAAATAAATTAATCCCACATAATCAAGCTTATCTTTCTCCCTTTATATCTTGTTGAGTGGTCGTAAATTCATTTTGCTTTGATAAAATTTCTTAAAAGATTCACAAAACAAAATGTTTTATAATTCTAAGATATTTTTCTCTTGATAGAAAAATAGTAAACTATCAAATTACTTTCTAAGATTATAATTTCAAATATTTTTAACAAAACTTAATAAAGTGACCTAATTAAAAATAATTTAAGAGTTCAAAAATATATTTGCAAACCTTCAAATATAAAAATTTATTTAAAATTTTAGAAATAGTTCATGAACCTATTTATTTAACCTATAATTAACCAGACAATCGTTTAACCTTTCATTTATTGTCAAATAATAGGGACAGAGTTGTCCCCGCAAGCTAACAAGTAGGTCCTTCCCTATCTAACCATGGCAATTGGTTAGTCCATTTCAGACGAAGTCCATCAATTTTGTAGCTGGTATTTGTACAACAACTAAGATGCCAAACATGAGGAACAACGAATTTTAATGTAATTTTTAGTGAAAGTTATTTAATTTTTGAGTGATGTTTTTTAAGAGGTGCTCTAAAAACATTAATTAGCAAGGTCCTAATAGGAATGCTCTTTCATCAATACATAGTGGACGCTTGGGATTCATTGTTAGTGACAAGGGAAATAGGTATTATGTAAATTTGAATGAGAGAACCCCACTTCATGGTTTGTGAGATTAGTAATAGTCATGTATTTTCTACCAAAAGCTCGTGACATGCAGAGGAATATCGCCATCACTGGTATTTATAAATCAGCATTTTATAATGAGATTATCCATCACGTGCTTAATTAAAGAGAACACGGTCTCTATTCAAGATGCTATAATAGATAAGTAATCATAGAAGTTGAAAACGGAAGGAAATTAAGCACTTCCGATATAGAGTCTGGAAATAATAACTAGTTTGGCACCGATTGCTCAAAGAAAAGGACAAATGCTACTCATGGAAAGTCTGGATATATCAGTAATTTTTTTATTATTAAGAACTATTATTAATGCATTTCCATTTAGTTATAGTTATGCCTTTAAGGTGATTTTTAATTAAATTTTTAATCGTTGTATAAGACCAAAAAATATATATTCAATTTTTGTGCAACTCATTATTATGTGAACACCTAAATACTTTCATTATGTGGTACTGATTTGTATATTGAAACTTTGGTGGTTTGGCATCCACTGCGCATGGCAACCTATAAGTGGGCCTCTTCAAAATGGAAAGGAAGGCATGGAAACAATGCTTTTAATGCTCCTATTACTACCAACTTTGATACTTATTGCATGTATTATTTGTGTGTATCTGTTGGGAGAAAGAAGGGTGAATAGAACAGGGTTGACAAGTGATGTTGGGGGGAAAGTGAACCATATGAGAAATTAAGGTGTTGGGTTGGGTGGAAGTGAATTGGAGGCAAGACCAAGGAATACGCGGGTTGTAACTCACCCCAGATGCAGGGTATTATAGTCTGGGAAACAAGTTACCATTAAAGGGACACTGGTGTGGGGGAATTTGTATTTAATATTTTCTCTTTTATATCAAACGTTATTTATGTACTTTTATTTAGAATATTAAAAAATATATAATTTTTAATAATATCCTTACTTATTAAAATTTTTTACTAACTAACGACTAAAATAATTCTAAGATTAGTTATCATCTAATTCTTGCTAAAAACACTAGTTAAGAAATTTAAAATTATAAACTTTTATAGGTTTTGTTAATATCAGCTTTTAGGGTTGAGTTAAAACATTTATAAATAAAAAAAATTTATAAAAAATTACATAGTTATTATATTAAAATTATAAAAATATAATAAATATTTTTTTTAATAAAATTTTACTGTTATTAACTATTTATCCTCAACTCTAAGAGTTGAGGTTAACAAAACTCAACTTTTATTAGGATTACAGTAAACTACATCAAAAATCATAGAGAAATGTGTATTTATTATATTTTTTAAAAAATATTTTTAATTTTTTTAATTAGCACTAATAATTAATTATTGTTTGTTAGATAATAATAAACAAACAAAAATATTAATTAATATAGATGAAGGGTATAATAAAAGATTAAATAATATTCTTAAAAAAATTTAAAATATGAATTTTTAAACGTCAAAGAGAAATTAAAAGAATAACAAAGTTTTAGAGTAAATTTTAAACGATTAGAGCTAAAAAATATTTATTATATCAAGAATAGAAAGATATTTAATGGACAAGAAATAACATTTGCGATTTGAATTAAATGTAACATGCCGAACAAACAATGAAATAAGGAATTTTTTAGCGAATGGGTCCCATATTTAATGTGTGGCTCCACTTGTATGCTGAAGGATTTAATGTGTCAAGTGTTAGCTTTCTAATTGTATGAAATATAACAATCATGGCACTGCAAAGGACTAACTGGTTATGTCGAAGCAGCGAAAGTCAACAGTAATAAACCAATTGTGGATGCATAGTTGTGTTGAGTACATAACCCCAATACGAAACCCCTTCCAATGCATTTATAGTAGCCTACTTCCATTGTCACCCACGCAATAGATTAAAATAATCACTAACGTGTTAAGATTGAGGCCGAACCCAAAGTGATTTCAAAAGAAAGAGAAAGTGGTTTCTGCGAAAAGCATGCACCACATTTTCTTAACAAAGATGACACAGTTGTAACTCAAATATATATTCTCTACCCAAATATTTCCATCAACGAAAATATAACGGAGCTATAAGGTGACATCAATTTATGTTGAGTGGTAAAGAAAAATAGCTATAAAATATTTATATAAAAATATATAAAATGTAATAAAAATAAAAAGTTCTATACCAGAAAGTTAAAAGTTCAAAATATACCAGAAACAAAAATGGAACTATTGATGAGAGTTACGTCGCATCTGAACAATAGAACTTGAGATGAAGATAATCGTTACATGCATACAAATGCATAAACATCAAACCAAACACGCTGAAATTATTGTACAGTGCAGTGTAACTCTTATACCACACACACACACTTTCTAATTTGATTTTTTTTTACATCGCTCAAATTGAATTAATTCGGTTAAATTTATATTGATTTTCATCGAGTATTGCTGACTTTGTGCTTTAAGCCTTAATACACTTTAAATTTTGTAAGAAGTTCAAATTACTAAATAAATTTTTTCTTTGTTTATTTTGTATAACTTTATTTTAAATTCCTAAATATCTACTAATTCAAATGAAAACCCACTATTTTTTTTTGTCATTCTTAAACAAAATATCTTTTAGCATTAATTCAATCATGTTCCATTCATCGAAAAAAATAAGACTTTTTTTTATAATTTTTCAAGAAGTCCTTGTAAGAAAAAAATTTAGTATAAAATAATAAAATTTTTCTTGTAAATTAGAAATAGCTTATATTTCTCTATTTTTTTATAAGTTTTTAATTTAAGAATGCAATTTTATTTATTTTTATACTATTTTTTATAAGTTGTGAGTGATTTAACTTAATTCAAAGAATGTTTCACAGAATTTATGAAAATAATTTATATTTTTTATAAATTTTTAAACATTAATTTTAACAAATTTTATTAAAATTGTGAGAAATACTCATATAAAAAATCTTACTAAATAAATATTTAACGAAGCTTCTTATCTAAACCTTTCATTAGACCGATTGGATTGTCAAAATTTGATGGAATAAGTCAGAAAATACGTTGAAAAAAAAATGATTGAATGCATGACCAAGTTCGAAAGCTGTATCCTAAAATTTTCGCATTCTCCTTCTCATCACCAATGGCTCTTTTCTAATGAAAACAAAAAATTCAGAAAATATGCAATAGGAAAGGGATTTGAATGCATTTTCTTCCCCTATAAAAGAGAGTCTGAGACGTTCTTGTAGACAATAATTTGTTCCCCTACGCATGGTGTTTGTTATTGGCTCATTGTTAATGCATTTTCGACATTCTTCGGTTGGCACCTCTGTGTTCTCTAGTTGGCCATACTTTGTTAAAACTTTGTTCTCCATATCTCCTAAGTCGGGATTCATTTCCAAACAAGACATTAAATATCCAAACAAGTTGTCATTTTTCCCTACACAATACAACTTCAATTTTTCACTTCAATACTCACTAATCTTGTGAAAGTCATCACAAGACATTAAATGTCACTTTGCATTGGATCAAAGATATAGCTTTACCCTGATTTTTTTTTCTTTATTGGTAATTTATTTCTAACTTACTAGAAGGAATTATTCTTAAAAAGAGAAAAGTTTAATTATCATTTATAACGAAATTAAAATTTATAGTATTTATTTATAAAGCTAAGTTTTATAGATCAAGTCAGATTGTAAAAAATAAATAGTATTTCAAGATTAATTAAAATGAAACTAAATTTTGAAATATCTATTCATTAAAAGAGTAAAATTTAAGAAATTAAATATTATTTTCCCATCTTAAAATCACTTGAAAAACAAATTAAGAAAAGACACTGTTCCGTAACTACTTTAAACTTTTCTTTTTGTGAGCACTTATTAACCTATTTACCATAAATGGACTGTCCAGGCAGCATCTCATGTGGTTCAAGGTGAAGTTTCACAATCTCTATAAGAAATGACCAAAAATGATGAACAACTAACCGTCATTTGGACCTAAAATCAATGTCTTGGATTGGTAATTGAAGTAAAAAAATTGAATAGATTCCATGAATTAAAACCCAAAATCAGTACGGAGCAAGGGGCTTAATACAGTGATTGATTAAAATCATGGGTTTGAGAAGTGTAAAAGCATAACAACTTTTTAGGTTGGATTTGTAGTTTTTCCGTGTATGCATAGAAGATCATATTGGTTATTGCGTAGCATAGGACCACACCATTTCCCCCCAAAATTATTCCATGCCTTCTTCTCACGCCAAAAGGCTTATAAACCCCACAAGAACACCCTGTCCAAAGCCCTCCACTACAGTGTTCCTTTTCACAAAATTCTAACTTTTTCTGATCATCCAAACTCTGCTTTCTCTGCTCATGGCTTTGCTTTTCTTATCATCGCCTAATCTCTTGGAACCGTAGTTTTCTTTTGCAAAGTAAATTACAAACGGTAATTGTGGCCAATGGAGGAGTGTAGATTTCTATCAGAAATGAAGTTCATTATCAACTTGTTATACACAGAAACAGTTTCATTTCTCTATGTTTTTTCCTCTGACCCTCTATTTTCATGCATTGTCACCTTCTGCACCTTGATCCTCCTCTATTTGCCTCATCTATTTTGGAAAATAGTTTTCTCACCCGTTTTGATTCTCTCCGGGATTCTCTTGCTTCTCATCCTCCGTCTCGGTGCAATTCAAAGATCTGAAAATGAAGAAAAGGAAAACACGGGCAAATTTGAACCCATCGGCAATGAAGAAAACAGGGCAAACAGAGAAGAGAAACGGGGGAAACTCATTGAACCTGTGGAAATCGATTCTCTTGATCAAGTTTACCGGTGGGTGAGGGCCCATTCTGAATTAGAGGTTAAAACCCAGATGGATTTTGAATCAAGTTCGCGTTTTGAGGAGCCTTTCGTGGAATGGAACGTTAAAGCGCCATTGGAGGTCATATACGAAGTAGAAGAAACAGAGCAGGATCCCAATGAGAAACAACACATGGGTATTTTCCCATCGTTGTCATGCTACTACCCTGAAACTGACTCGGAAAACTCGTCGGGGAGTGAATTTCCGGCGATGGAGAACTGGGACTCGCCGGAGAAGATGAGCTTCAGATGGGATGAAGAAGATAGAGAAGGTTTAATTGAGATAGCTCTTGATGGGTGTAAGAAGAGGACCGTCGAGTTTCAGTTTGAGGAGGAGAATTTGATCGAGATTGATATTTCTCCGACGAGGCACAGAGAATTTGCCGGCGAGGATGATCTGTTTGCCGGTGAGATTAGTTGCGACTAATGTGATGTTTAATGAAGATTAACATAGGGGATTATTGTGTATTTTGTTTTGGGGTAAGTGAAAGGGAAAATTAGAGATTTGGAATTATTTGGGGAGTTTTGGCAGACTATGCCTGTCTTGGATGTGGTCACCGTTGTACTATCATATCCAAGCTTTAAGTCCAATTAATCACACTAATCCCAAATATCATACTCAACTCTGTCATTAAGTGACTACATACTACACGGCTTGAAATTTCATGTTTTACTTAATATTTTCAATCATGGTGGCCGATAATTTTTAAATTTTAAATTGGAATACAGTTTTACAATCTATAAATAGTATAATTTTTATTTTTTCTTTTATTATTAGAATATGATATAATCTATTCTTTATTTTTTATATATAGTTTTTATTTAATTCTTTTACGTATATTAAATTTCCTGTATAGTTTTCATTCTTAAAAGATATATAGATATTTAACAGATAAAATAAATAAAAATTAATGGAGAGAATACATCAGTAACGCGAAAGTTTTATGATGACTAATTTTTAACTTTTAAGACTGAGAGAAAATATTCTTTTTATATTAAGAGATAAATTAATCCAAACTTTAATATTATTTAAAGTGTAGGCAAATGCGATCAAAGTTTTTAAAACCTTATAGTCACGTATAATTGTGGACTACAAATTAATACCTTAATTATATTAATAAAATAAAGTTAGTTTCAAAAAACTAAAATTAATTTCACTAATAGAATATCATTTTAATGATAATTAATGTTAATTGAAGAAAAATGAATATAAATTAAGAAAATTAAAAACAAAAGATTAAAATATATGTATCGTAAAATGGTAAAGATATAGAAATATGGATGCATATTATTTTTGTAAAAAGGCATAGAATTATAGTCGATGATATGGGCACATAGGTGTGAGCGATAAAATGGACTTTGAAGGCATTGCGCATTGGCAAGTGGCAACACGTAGCATTAGTGATAGGGTGGAAGGGTGTAGTAGTAGCAGCCAGTAGAAAAGGTCAAAAGACTGAAGGGAGTGTGACAAGACATCCTAAGAGTAACATTATTGATTGATAACATCAATACATAATATAATATATATGTATAATTTAAACTTAATTCAATCTTATACTTGTTTAATTTTAATAAAATTTAACACAAATAATCTAATTAATATATGATTATAATTTAATAATTATATCAATAAAAATTAATTTTTATATCAATTTATTAATAATATAAAAGTTAATGTAATTTACTAATGAAAATGGATTAAGTTATATTTATTGTTAATAATTTAATATAAAATTATATTTTTATTAATTTAACTGTTAAATTATATTATATTAATTAGATTATTTTTATTTGTCAAAATTAAATATGTATAAGATTGTTATAAAACAATTTTTATTTTATAAATTTTTTTTAAATATTATATTTATTTTGATATATATAAATAAAATATTAAACAATTTTAAATTAATTTTAATTTTTGTATATATAATTTATGTGACTGAAACTTTTTCTTTTTGCTATAAATGTGACTGAAACTTTTAATTAGATCATTGATTTAAAATTAAATTATATAATTTTTTAAATTATGAGTTGTTTAATTTTTAAAATATTTTTGTTTAAATTATAAAATTATTTATTATTATTTTAATTTTTTGAAAAATTTTGAAATAAAAATAAATAAGAATTTTATAATTACAAAAATCATACTTTCTAAATTCAAATAAACTTTAAATTTTTATATTCTAAATTTTTTCTTGATCTTAATTCAATTTAGGTCAATTTCTGAATGAAATTTATAAGAGTGAAAAAATATGCAGTAAAATAAATTAATGTTTTTAACAAATTAAAATTAATTTATGTTTCTTTATTTTTAAAGAAATTTTTGCATTAAAGTTTTTCTAAGTTTAATCTATACAAAAAATTATTATTTCATACTAATTGTTTCTTTTATAATTTTTTTTTCTAAAAAATTTGTTTGTACCTTTGTAACAAATGCAAATATTTTTTACTTTGTGAGTACATAATTAGAAGTTTTCTTGACGTTTGAAAAAGAGATTTTTTTTTTAAGTGAAAAATATTTAGTAATAATTTAAATTATTTATTAATTATATATCTTGTCATTATAAAAAAATAAATATTCCTGTCACCTCAGGTTGACTTTATTTTATTTATATCCAATCCATGTGCTCCTTAAGAATTTTATTGGCATTGCACACGGTGCCTATCAAAAGTTGAGAGACATCAAATTCCAAGAGAATTTACAACCTTTTATTTGCGATTCTCTATGTTATTTAAATGGGAATTACTAACACAATAAATGCGTGACAATGGATTCAAATTTTAGGAATTTCCTCCGCTTTAATTTTAACGTTGAGATTAAGCATTTATAAATCAAAATTTTTATATAAAAATATATTTATTATATTAAAGTTATAAAAATATAATAAATATTTTTTGATAAAATTTATTAATTATTAATTATTTATCATCAAATTTTAATATGTTTAAAATTTTAATCATAAAAAATTTATATTTATATTTTATCTTTTTTTTAAGTTAAATTTTTTAATATTATATTTAAAACGTAAATTCTTATATTACTAATAAATTTTATAAAATTTTAGATTAATCAATTTAACAGTCAGTTTAACATTTTTTTATAAAAGATATTAATTTTATTTTTTTATTTTTTAAATTGATAAATTTTTTATTTTATTATTTTATTTTATGAATAATATTTATTTTTATATAAATATTTAAATTGAATGAAAGTTATGTATATTTAAATTAAATGAAATTTGGTATACATATTTATAAAAACAATATTCAGATAATATTAGATGTTTTAACAGTGAAATTAATTGATTTTATATTTTATAAAAAATATTAAATATTAAAAGTATTTTAGTTTAATATCCAACATAAACGAATCTTAACTTTTATTTTTCTTTATGTAATTGATTTATTTTTTTATGTTGTCTTTCGCTTGCTATCATTCTCTTTCATTTTCAATAATATCATCAAGATATTTGGTACACAAATGTGAGTAGATTAATTTCATTTTATTCATGTCTATAATACAAGAAAATTTGATTAAAACACCCGAGAAAATAAAATCATTAAAAAAATTCAGTACGCTTTTCTTGTAAACAAGACATGAGCATTGACCAGAAAAAGATAAGTTTCTTGGTTAAGGTGCTTTAAGGTTTGACTAAAAAAAAAGGAAAATTGATGGGAGAAGAACATTATAATTTTATGTTTTTAATCGAACGAAACTGAGTATCAAAGTTTAAAATCAAGATAAACATGATCCTGGTTACCATTTGGGCACCTAGCTAGAACCAATCGGAGATAAGCTTACTGTTGAATGAGAAAGGGGTTATGGATGCTCTTATGGTTGGTAAAGCTGATTTAACTGGTTGAGTTGACCTACTTAACTTGACATTTTTAGTTAAATCATGAGTTGGATTTTAAATTTGTTAACTCAATTAACATAAACGATTGTGCTACTATTTTATTTATAAGATTTTAACTTTTTATTTTTTTATTAAAATTACTATTTTATCTTTTAAATTGATTAAGTTTTTCTTAATTTTATTATAAAAAAGTATGACGATTAAATATAATTAAAATCGGTCAAATCATGAAAAAAATTATTAAAAAGAGAAAATAATAGATAAGTTTTAAATTTTGAATTAATTTTTTTAAATTTTTTTATATTTTTAAATTGAGATTTTGAAATCGACCCATCTAATAACACAAATCTAATTGTTGCTTTCATTGGATCTCCAAAAATTAACGTTCTTTGTTGTAGAGTTATTATTTCTTTGAGTCAGTTTTGTCATCTATAATTACTCTTTGTGAAGTTGTTATTAGCAAATCTAGTCTATTAATCAAAAAATAAAAATAAAAATGCACTAACTCTTTATCTTTTATAAAAAATAAATTTTGTGACCTTGTAAAGCCAGTAAACAAGTCACTTTTGAAAAATAATAATAATAGGACATGGATTCACAATATTTGGGTGTCTTTAAAAATGTTATGAAAAAATATGGATATTTTATGATTTTAGATTTCATTTAAGAGCAAATTTTAGAAGAAAAAAAAAGAGAAAATGTCATTTAAAGATAATCCTTAATAAAAGAAATTTAAATGTAAAAGGTGAATTGAATTTTTTTTTTGTAAATCTTTCAAAATTATTAAAATAATATATTTTTAAGTTTATTGGAAAGCTTTATATTTTAGTTTGAAAGTTAATCACAGGAAAAGATGAAAGACAGTAAAAAAAAATGTATATGACAAAAGTTAATGTTTAAGGATTTTAATTATAAGAAAGAGTTTTATAAATCTTTTAGAATTATTGTAAACTTATACATTTAATTTTTTTTAAATTAAATTTTTTAAACTACACTTCTCTCTCTCTCTCTCTTTTTTCTGTCATCTTTTTTTTCCTTCAAATTTTTAAATAACTTGTTAAATTATTAAGTGTGCAGCACTTTACCATTCTAAGTTTTTCATCGAAGTATTGTCCATCCTCAATCTAGTTTGGCAAGATTTATGTTGGAGTGGGGTGGTCTCCCCTTGTTTCTTCTTTCCTCGTATTAGCTAGGTTATTTTGTCCCGTTTCAATTTTTTTTTTTAATTCTCACTTTAAATTCTGTGGAAGGAAGAAATAGAAGATTATCATGAACAAAAGAAAATTTTATGATTGATTTCATTCTAATTTTGCATGCAATGCGTTTAGGAAGAATTTATATTAATTAATCTGTTTTAGATGGTTTTAAAATAAATTACGACATAGCTTATGCTCAAATATACTAGAAAAACATTGACATGGTAATTTAGTGTAACCCACCGACTTCTAATGTTCCGTGCTCGTGAAATCAAGTCTTGTCTTCCATAATTAAGATGATATTCAGTGTTCTGAGGCACCGTATTGCTATCATTAGAAAAGAGATGCTTAATCTAGGGGCTCCACTCGATTAGATTGATACTGTGAAATTATCTATCAAAAATGAAATTGCCACAAAAGACAGAGACAATCACTTGACATGCATTCCAATTCACACAGTACATTAGCTAGATTTCTACGTTCGAAGTTCAAAGCACGTAATCATGTGTTCTTTTTATTTCTGTTTTTTTCCCTTATTCATTTTACAATCATTTGTTGATT